GTTTCATGTGGTGTTCATAAATCTTTTACTTTGTTACAGACTTAGTCTTCCTGCAACTGTTAGCAGCACTTCAAATAAGCCATATTGCTCAAAGGGGCACAATTGTTGTTTCTCATTTTGTTTTAGTACTCAGGAAAAAGGCTGCTGTGTTCAGACCCCAAATAAAGAGTTTTGCACATCATTGCTGAATTGTGACCTTACAGTGTTCTATTGAAATTTTAAGCGAATGTCCTCATATGTGGAAATCATTTTTCTCAGAAACTGCATCAGGTAAAAAGATCATTCTTTGTTTTTACATTCATCAGATCCCAATCAGCCCAAATAGCAAAGAGAAATTAAAAATGCCATGAAAGAGTTTGGGTCTTAGGAGGTTAAAAGACTTGCCTCCTTAACGAATATATTCTCTGTTGATCCCATTTTACGCTTGGCCATTATGTCGACTTAGAGAGAGAGAGAGAGATCAGGCATTCACTAAAGCAGTAATTTAACATGTAACATGTTGTAGTGTAACAAAAGGGAACAAAACATTTCTAGAAATTAAAGAACCAATAAGCATCTTATAAATGTTTCTCTCCGCATTCTCTCAGCACTAACCCACAGATAAGTTCTCCTTTTTTCTTTCTTTCTAGAAAACACAGGATATAATTGCAATACTATGTATATAATAATATATATTATTACATTTTCAAGATTCATTATACAGTAATATTGATAATCATGCATGTGAGAGTTCTGATTTCTGATCAGCATTTTTTTACATACTGCAATGAAAGCTCCATTTTTTTATTTTAAGCTGAAAACCATTTAGCTACAAGCTTGTACAGCCACTGCACCATGTAAAATCATTCACTGTTAAAGTTGCCAGTCTCTGCCCAAGATTTGAGCATCTGCATTCATAAAAACAACAGAAAGTTTTTCAAACCCAAATTTTTAAAATGTGACCTGGAATGATTTCATTAATGTCGACAGAAAGAAGAGAGAAGGCACTGAAAAATTAAATACATATTCCAGCAATGACGCTAGGAAAATATCTCCAGGAAACTCCCTCTTCCAGTCAGCAGCATTATCATGTGTGTTAGTTTAGTTTCTCAAGATCTACCAGGCTAAAAAGAGAGGCTTGTTTTGAAACATCTCTGTCTTGATTAATATTAAGGGTACCCAGCTTAACATTGCTCATATTTGAAGAACAGCTAATAAGAAGAAGAGATAAAAGTAACAGTAATAGAAATAAGGAGACGACCCAAAAAGCAGACTTACAGAGGCAAACAAACTCAGGAAGCAGCTTTACTGCCGAATAACAGATGTGCTGAAACTAACTAAAATGAGAATGCACAATAAACTAAATGGTTCGGTAGGCAGGTAATTAGGCAGAACACACAATGAGAGATGAGGGAGGACGCAAACAATAAATAAAATGGAAGGAGGACCAGGAGAGAAACACAGCTCGTATTCGACAGACGAGAAAGGGGAGAAGCAAAACAGAACATGACGCACACCGACAGGAGACTAAAAAGTAAAACAGGAAGAAATGGCAACATACACACTGAGACGCAGACAGATACACAGAACCGGTTCAAATCCATTCATCACTAATTTGATTCTTCACTTTCACGATGAGGCTTTAACGTCTGAAAATCTCCTGATCAGTAAAGTGTTCCAGTCCAAACTCTGCAGTGTTTTTAATATTATCTCTGACAGAATCTAAAATCAACTTTAAGTCAGGAAATAACTTTCACCATTCTGGATCCTGTTGTGTCTTGCAAAAATGTTCATGTTATTCCCACTATCGATTTTACTGTCTACCTCTGATTCATCACGTCTCTGTGACTGAGACCCTTTTCCCCTTACTTTTTTGTTGTTTATTCTCAGTGTTCTACCTTTTTACAGAATATAGCAATAATTTAGAAAGTCTTCATACATCACAGCACCCTCCCACCTCACTTGACAATCTGCAAACCCCTAAAGAGCACAGAAAAGGCCCCACAAATACAAAAAAAGAGAAAAGTTTCAGACAATTTACCCATGATGCAGCTGAGTCTAAATACATCCTCACACATCTGCTAACAGACATGTAGCTGGACATGCTCAGACTGCAATGTACGCAGTATCAGTGATGTAAACAACAGTCACATCTAGTGTTCAGATTCTGGTATTGCTTCGCAAAGCATGAGATACAATGAACTTGTCAGTTTCACCTCTCACATTTGGCTCTTTAAAGGGTCTATAACATTAATATAAAGAATAAAAAGCTGTTGCCCCACATGCATGAGGAATAGTTGACACTTGCAGATTAGGATAAAAACACCCAAATAGCCTTTGTACAAAATTTGTTTAGAAATTAGTTACTAGATTCTAAAAAGACAAATTTCAAATCCTCTATAGCACTGGGAAGTGATAGGGTAGTTAATGATAATGTAACCTGGTGTAATTTATGACAGATAGCAAACTGAATCTGCTCACACTGAGTGTGGAGCTTTAATGGGCTGCTGGGGTCATTATGGATGGCTCAAATAGAAGAGCTGATTAAAAAAAACCTTCAAGATTTAAAGACTGATTACTTTTCACTGAGTATTTACAGTTTCAAGTACGACATTGGGTTGTCAAAGAACCTCCAATCAAGCACTGGGTAGCCACAATAAAAACATTCAATGCATGGAACAGCTAACCCGCAGTTTAA